AACTGAGGAAATTTTGTGTGTGTGTGTGAATGTGTGTGTGTGTGTGTGTGGATTTTGGCAACTTGATTAGTATATTGATTAGTATAATAGCTAACTGCTTTTGTTGACTCTAGACTATCTATTACAGATTAGCACATCACATATCTAGATATAATGAGTAATAAATAATATATAGACTGGCCGTCGGGACCATGAATTACACATTTGATTTGATTTGGTTTGGTTCCAGTCCATTTCTTGGCATGATTTTAGTGGGATCAGGACCAGAATGGAAGTGTAAAGTGACTAGAATTATCAAAACATGAGTGAAATGAGACTAAAAAATCTTGATATTCCATGTAAAGTGACTGACTATCAAAAACAAGAACATGATCTGGGACTGATCATGATTTTGACTCAAGTTTGGTCCCATTCTGATGATTATATAATACATCAATCTGATGATATGATTGGTGGAGATATTACCCCTATCTTGCTTAGTGCTGCTGCCAACCTACCCACCGCTGCCAATCTACCCACCACTGCCAATCTACCCGCCGCTGCCAATCTACCTACCGCTGCCAACCTATCTATCACTGCTAATCTATCGCTGCTAATCTATCGCTGCTAATCTATCACCGCCAACCTACCTACCGCTGCCAACCTACCTACCGCTGCCAACCTACCTACCGCTGCCAACCTATCTATCACTGCTAATCTATCGCTGCTAATCTATCGCTGCTAATCTATCGCTGCTAATCTATCGCTGCTAATCTATCGCTGCTAATCTATCGCTGCTAATCTATCACTGCTAATCTATCGCTGCCAACCTATATAGGGTAAATCATGGTCCCATTTGGTCCCATTTTGTAAAATGGGACCAAATGGGACTGGGACCACTAATTTATTAGTAAAACATGATCTGGGACTAGATTTATAATATAAACAGTGTAAAGTGACTAATTTACTAAACACTATATGGAACCAGGACTAAGATATCTAATAATGGGACTGAGGAAAAATTTGGTCCCAGTCCCATGCATGGTCACACGGCCAGTCTAATAATATATCAAATTAATATATAAACCATCTGTGTATAATCAACAGAATATTGTTATATTAATCAAGTAAGCAAATTCATGATTGAAATATCTTTTAATAGTATTAATAACTCTAGATTTGAATATATAAATATAGATGATAATGATATTACAAGATATAGAGTGTTCAGTGTATACATATATACTGTGATGTATATTTATTGCAATTATATATATTTATATATATAGTTATTCTATATTAGTAGATTTCAAAATTCACAAAGTATTAAATTTAATATATACAGCACAATTAATAAAGTAACAATATTAAAAGATACATTCTTGAGAATATTAAAGAGTGATTATTATAATACTTATTTATATCTGAACTAATTACAAATTACAACTCTGATACATCAGACTTGTCATTCTCACTATTTTTATTATAGATTTTCATTTCTATCATATTATCAAAATTCATCTCATGCTTCTGTAATTGTTCTGTCAGTCAGTTTCAAGCATCAGATGACTTTTCAGATTCTTGTAGAATAGAAAATTGTTGAAATTGTATATAATTGTATACAAGTTGTTGCAGCTGAAGATATACTATTTTATACATATACTCATCAGCTTTATTAACAGCTGCAGCAGTGATCCTTTCAGAAGAAAATCTCAACTTTGAAATATAATTCTGATATTAATTCTTTGTCTTCAGCAGCAGATACTCATTGATATCTGTCAAGTATTAGTATTCATATGATATTAAATAAATAGAAATATTAGTGATAGAGATATTACATACTTCAGTTTTCAAAGTGTATGTGAAGTTCTGAAAGCACTTGTGAGTCTGATTTTAAACCAAACTGTGATGTATTATCAGAATGATAATACATCATTTAGAGCTGTTCATATACTCCATCAGATTGTTTACATTGAGTATGAATTTAATGATTATTTCAGACTTCAATATAGTTTGCCATCTTCTATCAAATAATTGGCATATAAACAGCAAGAAAGACAATATAATTGAATACAGTATTGCTGTGATATAGACCTCTATCACTGAGATCTAGAAAATAGTGCTGAGAGAAATATTAGTATAAAGATTAGTATAATAATTAGTGGAAAGAATAGAGAATTTCATACTCTTCAATAATTTGCCAACTGTTTTGCAAGTTGTCCCCATCAAGATTCAATTTACTGATTTAGTGTACTTATTTCAAATTAATAGTAATCATTCAAAGATGTATTTGAATTAGTTGCTTGATGTAGTTTGAGTTGTGCAGCTGCAATCATTGAAGTCTCAGTCTCTTGATCTGAATGAATAATCTGAGAAAATGTATCAGTGATTTGAAGAACATCAAGAAATTGTTGAAGAACAGAAATGACAGTTCAATTGATGATTTCAATATATATTCAGACAATATATTGAGAGTATATATCAATTGCTGTATATATTTCAATTCCTCAGTGTTGAAGCTTGTAATAACCATCAATAGATCAAAGATAATTTGATTCAGAAATAATATAGAATTCTTGATGATATTGAAGATCATTCAGTTGATACTTAATTTCATCTGAATCAAGAATCTGAACTGTTTTGAATAGATGATCTCTGAATTTATTAGTATTATACTAATCATTATATCAATCAATTAAATATACTGTAAAATGCTATACTCTTACTGTCTAAAATATGTGTACAGATGCTCTCTTTCAAATCTCTGAATAAATCCACTGTCAAGCTCTTTCTGTACAGTAGATATAAACTCTTTTTATATCTCATCACTCTTATAGTCATCTCTTCACTGATGAAGTTTTAACTGCTGCTGAATTTGATGAAGTTTATATATACAAAGTTGAGACTCAGAATATTTTTATTTAACAACAGATAGAATATTAACATTCTGCAAGCCTTGTGAAAACAACTTTTTAATAAGATATTGAATTTCATCATTGACTTTCCATTTCTTGTATTTTCTAATATTCCATTTCCAAAGACAATGGCTAAGAGTAGATCAACTAACTTCAAGATTATGAACTTATTTTAATTGAGAGATAATATATTGATGAGTTCAGTTCTGTTGATGAAGATCAATGATAAAATCTTTATAAAAAAGAAGATGAGAATAGTCAGCAGAAGACATTGTAAAAGAAAGTGAAAGAAAAAATATTCATTTATCTTAAAAAAAAGAAGAAGAAGGGGGAAATAATAATATACTAAAAAAATAAAGAAGAAATTAAAACAGAAAATACACTAAACTAGCTTAAGAGTTCTTAGTCATAAAAAAAAATTTTCATACAAAAAATTGATTAGTAGAATGATTGGTATAATCACAAAAACAAAACAATATATTAGTTTTCTGAAATAAAAAGCATACACTTATCTGAATTCCATGTCATTTGCATAAATTCCTTCAGAGTCACCTCCACTTTCAAGACTCTATAAGCCTGTTTATGAGTATCAATAGTTCTTTTTAATTCCTTGATCATTTGCTCTTCTCATCATTCTTTTGTTAATCTTGATTCAATTTATTCTGTATAAAACAGCATTTTCAAAACAGAGAGCTTCTGATTTGAAATTTTTTTCAAAAAATCATAGTAGCTGACAACATTATTGAAAGAATGATGTTGCAATTTTTTAAAAAGATAACTGTTGATATCTTTCCACAAGCAAATTCATTGATTGTATAAAACAACAGAAAGTCTTTCTTCTTTTTTCATCAGCTTCACTTCTTTCTTATATACAGTCTGCAAATCTTTCTCAGTTGATATATTTTCTTTGTCAAATTATTGTTCATCTTTCATCTGTCATTTCACTTCTTGTATAATTTCCTCAGAATCTAACAAATGATTCCACACTGTAAGTCTGTGATTGATACTTAGAATGATTAATATAATAATCAGTAGAATAGAGGACTTACTTTTCATTTGATTTAGAGATATCTTTCAGTCTCTGTTTCAGCATCAATGCTGTAATCTCTGTGCTAAGTCTATATTCTATCAATATCTATATTAACAAGATTTCAAAATTTTGTTAATTATCTTTTACTCATGACTTCTGATTTTTTATTGTCAATCATTTTCTATTATTCTTCAGTATTTGCTTTTCTGAATACCTCAGTTTTTTTCAACTGTTGAATATAATAATTGACAGCTGCATGATCCACATTTTTGACTTATTCAACTGTGACTTCTTCTTCATTTATTTTTGCTTATTGTTTTGTTGTTCTTTGAGTATGAGAATTAACTGAGAGTTCTGTTTCTACTTTTTGTTTTTTGCCAGCTGTGGCTTCAGATTTTGATCTGCAATGTGTTATTTTGATAGATTTGAAAGTGAGAATCAACTGTGGCAGATATGAAGACTGGAAAACCTGAGACAAGAGGTGAAACTGAGGCTAGAAGTGATTGATTGATATAATGATTGATATAAAAATGAGCTCAGAGCAGAGGGCAGAGGCCAGTAGTAGTGATGATGAATGAAAAAAAAAATCAAAAGAATTGAAGAATAAATGATCATATTCTATATAATATGTTATCACATTTCCTTGAATTGTCTATTTGAGTGATTTTGTTGTTGTGTTATTCATCAACTGTATATAAATGTCAAATATCTCTTCTTTCTCTTCTGTCAATCTTTTCATCTTCTCATATTATTCTTGCTCTACCATTTTCTTCTTCCCTCTCTGTGCCCTCTACTCTCTCTGACTTCTCTCCCTCTTCCCCTTTTTCATAATTTTTAATTTTTTTTTAATTCTATCAATGTAAGTGAGCTACATTTTGTTTTTATACTAGTTATTATGCTAATCAATAAATTGACAGCTAGAATTATCAAATAGCCACAAAAATAGCAAGAACAAAAATGACAGCAAGAAGATGTGTTGTAGAAAAGAGATCTACAAAGAATTTAGTCAGTAAGATCAGAAGAGAAAAGAGCAAACACTCTTCAGAAAAACAGTATATTACTCATATGAGCTCAAAATGCCATTACTGTTGAAAGAGTGGTAGTAAGTATAAATATATCCATAGATTTTTTGATATGTATAGCTGAATATCTAACTTAATTATTTTAGCAAATACTTTATATCAAATCTGACATTATCAGAAATCTGTTGAGCTTCTCATCTGCAAAGTCCCCTTTCAGTGTCTTATCTATGAAATCATATATGATATTTTTGATGATATTTGATTTCAAGTAACAGCACTTCAGACATTGCAAGAGACTGTAGAGACAGTCTTAGTTGATGAATTTACAAGTATGAAAATGACTGGATTTTACAAGTTAATATACTAATCATTATACTAATCAATGAGATGTTAGTGATCAATCTATGCACCATTCATGCTAAACATGTCACAATCCAACAGAAAGATATGAAATTGATGCAACATCTGTGACAAATCATGACAGAAAGTGATATGCCAGAATGTGGAAATGCCTCAAATTAGTTCACTTTTTATTTTCACTTTTTGTTTTCACTTTTTGTTTTCACTTTTTGTTTTCACTTTTTGTTTTCACTTTTTGATTTCACTTTTTGATTTCAGTTTTCACTTTTTTTGTTTTTTTGATGATATCCCATGAAGTTGATGTTTTTAAATTTTTTTTTTTTTTTTTTAATTAATCAAAATGAAAATGAGATGTTTCTGCTGTAGACAAACTTTCATATAAATTTCTATTGGTAGGTGTCTATAGTGGAATTAAGTAATTACAGTGAAAAACATCAAAAAAACCTATTTGACACATTTGTCACTATAGGCTGCCGTAGGCATCACGTTGAACCTAGTCTTTATTTTCAGTTTTGGACCAATGGGATATGGCGGTAACCTAGCTTTTAACCCAACCCACGCAAGTATACGGAATATAAGCAGAAACACAGTAGATATGGTGACATCCACGGATCAATGTGTGAGTCCCTGCCAAATCCTCCTTCCGCTGCGGTAATCCGTAAATATACGAACAGTCTGTAGCGATGTCGGCTCGATCGCTGGGATCCAAGAGATCTGCAGTTGGGTCAGCGGCCTATCCCCACAAGCTTGCCAAACGTTACAATGGCCAAGCCCGCAACAGCCACCGAGGTATTTTGGTCCGCATATTGAAATCATCCTTCTTTTGGGCCTCTGGGGAAATATCAGAGCAACAAGTTTACTCTATTCGTCCAAAAGTTGTTCCTTGCGGGCACCTGAATTTTTGAAAACGTCAGGTACAAAACATGCGGTCCTTGGGTATCTTTGGCATGCTTTTGGACCGATCCTTGGACGAGAGAGCTAGCAAGTTTTGTCCTGCCTCTTTGATCGACAGAGCAATTAAATAAACCCAGGTTATAGCGTGGATGGGTTGCAGCTGAAAATTATCTCAACAAAGTGCGCAATCAGCAATCATGGGGAAAAGCATGTCGCATAACGAAATACTCCCCACGCCGCTCACTGATTCAAACAGGTTAAGGGGAAAGGCCCAGCTGCAAAACATGAGCGATCCCTGTAAAGTCAATTCCTTTTTGATATTCCGTTTTCATGGCAGCGTAAACCATTGACTCCTCGATCCCCTCGTTTCGACCGGTAGTTGAAGCGAACAAGCCTGCTGGTCGCGGATACAACTACCGATTCCGCTTGCTTGATGAAAAGGAAAACATGCGATCCGGAACGAACCGCTATCTGAGGAAATGAAGGGCTTGATTCGTTTTCCTGTAGCTTGGTTATCTTTGCGGTCCCTTTCTTGAGGAGCACCTTTTCTCGATTTTGGGATTGGTATCATTATCATATCAGTTTATGATGGAATATGTGTTCCCCAGCCTCTCTCTATCCCACTCCCTAAAGGAATTACAGCTTCCCAGATTTAGCTTGGTGAGCCTGCTCGTGCATATGAACGTTCAGGAAAGAATTGCAGGCGGAATTTCTTACCATAGTCCGGCTTTTTAAGGATCAAATTAGTGGGTTGCTTACTACACTTACATATATTGACAATGACATGTTCATATATTGGATCCATGCAAAATGAAGAAATAATATAGTTCTAGAGATGGTCGGTACACACCACCATGAACCATCTAGATCGACTGGTCTCATAGCTGACAAAACCCATCATCCCTGGTACCGGTAGGTTTTTAGAAGGAGGGATGAAAATTAACATCGAAGGTTTCCCCCTCTATCTAGCCCTGCTAAAATCCAGGAAGCAGTTAGTTAGGTGCATATCTGACGAGCGCGGACTCATTCATCTGTTGCAAGCAGTACCGTGGAATGGAAGCTATTTTATCGAATTGTTTATCGAAGGCAAGACTGACACTGAGAGGATTTACCGAACATGTTCCATTGTCACCAGAACTGTTGATAGTTGAGGGGCACGAAATTTATGCTTCGGCAAAGACTTTCTTTTAGATATCAACATTTGCTCTTATTTCAACATTCGTGTAGTACTCAGTGGACCATATAAGCCAATTCGATCCTGATGACGGCTTTTACTTCATTGATCAAAAGCAAAATGAAATAAATGCAATAAATGCAATATATCGCAATCCAGCCAGAAAAAAAAAAAAGCTGTGAGATGGTTACCTCACTCGCCCCTCGGCAGAGCCAGCTCCAGACGAGAATCCATACTCAACAGACCAAGATATACAAGAGAACAAAAAAACAGAATTAAAATATATGGGTTAGACCGAGAAACAGCAAAAACATGTCCAACCTCCCCTGCTCTCCCTTCTACAACGTGGATGGTATCGCCAACCTCCGTGACTTGGGCGGCTATGCAATTTCGCCCGCCACCTCTGTACGACGCAACTATATCTTCCGCTCAGCCTCTCTATCCCATACCACACCCAAAGGCGCAAACCTCCTCACGGGTAAACTCGGCATTGCCATGATCTATGACTTCCGCTCCATCCCCGAGTGCGAACGCTCCCCCTCATTCGACATACCGGGAACAACACGCCTCCACGTCCCCATTTTTAAAGACCAGGACGCAAGCCCTGAAGGCCTTGCGCTCCGCTATAAGAATTATGCCTCCTCGGACGGACCTCGAGGGTTTGTGCGCGCATACGCGGAGATATTGAGGGCCTGGGCTGCGGGGGGCGCGTTTCGTGCCGTGTTCGAACATATCCGGGACAGGTCTGAAGAACCATTATTATTCCATTGCTCAGCCGGAAAGGATAGGACAGGCGTATGCGCCGCGCTGATTTTGTGGATCGCAGGGGTCCAGGATGACGAGGTAATCGGGCGAGAATATGAGCTCACGGAGGCTGGGTTATGTGAATTGAGACAACAGTCTATCGATAGGGTGCTAGCTCTTCCGGCCTTTGATGGCAGCAGAGAGGGCGCCGAGAGGATGGTTTCAGCAAAGGCGGCGGCAATCATGGCGACAATGACTTGGGTGGATGAGAAATATGGCGGAGCTGAGGGGTATTTGAGGAACAGCATGGGATTTAGCGATCGAGATATTGCTGCAATAAGGAAGAATTTGATTATACAGGAGAGGGCGATCCTCTAATACGTATTGGGGTTTCAGTGTGTTTGGATATGTGATCATCCAATATTGAATAGAGGATACGATTGCGGAGTGACGTATTAGATAGACAGGGATATAGATAGACGTCTCTTTTTGTATATATAACCAACAGGCAAAGATAACAATAACAAAATAATTGGGTGGGGAAATTTTCCACGACGCCCAGCGTCGTTTATGTATTCCTCGTCAGCATCCCAATTGAAACCGAAAATCACCAATTCTCCCATACAAAAACAGGGAGAACTGTTCTCATAACCTTCCAATGGCCGGCAGCGCTCTGAGAGTGCCACCGTACCAAGTTTCCAGCATGTCCTACTGCAAGGATGTCCTGTTGGTCTTCCTCTGGTTTTGCAAAAGAAGCTGCGTTAATTTCATATTGGGGCAATAGGTACGATTCCCTAGACTTGCTGCCGAGAAAGTCGGCTTCGGTGGGGTTTCGAAACTCCAATGGGGAATCCGTCTGTTTACAGAAGATAACCATATTGGTAAAATCTCCTTCCCTAGTATCTGCAGGTGGTTCACTTTCACGGAAAATCCGGCAACTTGGGAACACAGATTTTATCGTCCGAACGATAAGGCCAGATGATGGGAGAGATAAGTCTCCAGCATAGTTCTGTAAATTGTTAGAAGATCGCATTAGCGAAGATAAAAAGCAAGATCAGAAAAAAGTAACCCGAAATAAACTAACAATAGCAATTACGCCGTCCTCTTTCAGAAGAGCACTGAGACCTTTCATAAATTCTACCGTGAACAAGTTAATGGGCTCTACTCCGCCAGTAAAGACATCGTGCACAATAAAGTCGAATCTAGGGGCCGGAGTTGCTCTTGTCGCTTCATCCACAAACCTGACAGCGTCTTGGATAACTGGTGTAAAATTTTTTGGAATGCTGAAGTAGTCCGCAGCAATATGGTATACTGCGGGGTCTATCTCGACGACTGTTGTATCTATACCGTGATTTACGAGCGCGGTAGGTGTTGTACCGATTCCGAGTCCGCTGGTTTTGAGATTAGCATAAACCATTCCGGCATGGGATAAGTGGTGAATTCATTTACATGACTAGAGAATTAGTCCCAGGGCCTCCCCTCCTTGAACTTCCATCGTCACTTTTGATCAATCGCACCGCCTCCAACATTGTGAAAATCGAATATATAGGTTCTCTGACTTCTGGGTACTGCGCGTTAGGTAGTTGTGTCCATTCTCCACCTAAAAGACTATGATCACACCTCATCACCCGATAGTGCTCCTTTACATTCTCCAAAACGGATAGATACCCCGTCAATGACTCCTCTCGATGCAGTAAAACGAAATTTTCAGCTTGCAAGGTTGAGTTCAAAAGTGCCGTGTTGTGTGCGAACGGGAAGTGTACGTTATATCGAGCAGAAAACAGCACTGACGGTAACGCGAGCAATAGCCATTTCGATGGGAGCGAAATTGCGTAAAGAGAAGCAGCTATAAGTTGCAGCGGAGCGCGAGCCATCAAGGCATTGTGTCCAATATACCTAGGTAATAAAAACCCAATAAACTTCTGGAGAGTACTGAATAGAATATATGACCCAAAAAAAGGGCCATGATTCCCCAAAGTCTCGCTGTATCGTTTCAAACCGGCATCTTCGAGCAACATAGTCACTGAGGCTACCGATAGAAACACCAAAGGGAAATATGTGAGGAGTTCAGTCAGGAAGGGGCCGTATATGGCGCCCAGCTGTTCGCTCCACTGAAACAGGAAAAACTGGATAGTCGGAATACTGAGCGCCAGTACCGGTAAGAAGTTCGTAACCTTTATAGATAGTCTTTTTCTGATTTGGTCTTTTCCGAACCATCCACAGAGAGCAGCCACCATCATCCCCCTCTGGTGGAAGGCTACAGAGGGGACAGATCCATAGACTGGCGAAAGTGTCAATTGGGATATCGGAGAATACGTAGCCGTGAGCGCCAGTAGCAGAGCAGCAAGGCCAATCAACTTGATGGTCTTTGGAGTGGAGACAAGTTGGTTCTCATTGACTTTTTGGGGTTGTGGGGTTGGCTTTTGTTCACTTTCCGCTCTTTGAGACGATCTCCCACCCCTGGAAAGCGACTTTTTGGATGGCATAGCAGCAGCGCCGAACCAAATGAATACTGAGAAATACTTCAGAAACCTTGTTCATCTATGGAAGAACAAGTGTGATAAGTGTGATGAAACTGAACAGTAAAACTTGGAGGGGTGGCAGCAGCGAACAGTTCTTGAGAATGTCTAATAGCCAGTGCGATGTGTTGGAGAAATGGTTGGCGGCTAGCGAATATGGCTAGACCAAGGGCTTAACATGGTCGGATTGGCAATATGCGCTATAGAGTACTTGAATTCAGAATGAGAATGGAGAATAATCCATCAGAAAAGTATGCTTGAAGTCAGCTTATGGGGGAAGGTTGATGATACAAGATACTAAATCAAGCTTAGCGTAAGTTAGTTGGTCCAGGCCTGCCGCAACTAAATATTTGACCTGTGGTAATCATGAGCTTGGGCTCGCAGTTTTCTTTATAAATTCAAAAACCACGTCTACAGAAATGCATTTGGGATGCCGGACACAATGCCACTTTTTCCGATGAATACTGGAACAAGCACTTATATGCGGCCCCATAACTGCAATAGGCAGACACAAGAATCGCGACCGCCGATAAAGCCTCCTGCTTCAGTCCAAGTCAAGAATCGCCGGAAGCGATATCTCGATGCGCACCCAGAATACTTTTCTGCAGCTCTCGAGCTAGCTGGTTAGCTTAGTTCTATTGTTATCTGCTTTTCGCCGCTAACAGCTTTGAGGATAGATCCTCTCCTCTACGACCGCCTGATTAGACGCTTCCAAACTGCTACGGAGAGGGAGGAGGAAGGCCGTGCCAAAGGATATTCTGGCGTGCTTGAAGCCGACCTGATGAGGTCGGAAGCTAAAATGGAAGCGCTGGCGAATCCCGATCCTAGTGCGACAGTAACATACAGTCGCGGGCCCAACGGCGAGATTCTCGCCGAGGATCAGGATGAGATACCGGAAACGAAGAAGGAGGGCGCTGAACGATGGCGCTGGGAAATGGAGATGCGATTTCTGAGGGGTGCGGATCACGAGTTTGACTACAATTTTGTGGATCAGAATGAAGAATATGACGACTGGAATGAAGAGCAAGAACGATATTTCGACGAGGAGGAACCGCACTTCTTACTAGACGGAGATGATGAAAGTCATCGAAAGGAAGAATTAAAGGGTGAAACTGGCATTCAAGACTTCTAAGACTTGTCTTGCCCATGTTGAACGACGCCCATCGAATTAACCCTCAGCTCTAAATGCCAAGGGGTGTTGTTCTTGCTGTCGTGCATCCTCCTGCGAACGTTAACACCCTACTTCACATTCGCCTTTGGAGTTCCAAAGAACTCGATAGTGTATCGAAATGCGGCCATGTCCATCTAGCAATCTGGCCCGTTGCAGGGTTCCCAGCGTATATATGTCAGCCAGCAGCTGTCTTGGTCGGCACAACACTTCGCCCCTCGTCAAGATGTGGGGAAATCTCATGATCCAAGACACCGAAACGGCACTCTGCGAGAGTCAAACGTTGTCCAAATGTGCCGCTAGCTATTGTTATAACTCAACCATCCTGCAGATACTTCTTTTTTCAACCCAGATAAGCTCTCTTCCAAATCCTTGGTTTATTTCCCCGTTGTGTATTTTCAACGCGGACAGCCATGGTGATCAAGTGGAAATCACGGGAAATGCCAACACGAGTGGGAAGCCGTTCATCTGCATAATTTGTTTTCATATAGCGGATGTCTCGTCACATTCAAGCCGACAGAGACCCTCCAAGATTGAGGCCATTGATTTTCCAACAGCCAATCTCAGCCACCAAAAATACACCGTCTCGAAAATCCCTCGAAAATCCCTTAACAGAGGTTCAGAGACATGCACACGCGAGTTCACTTGCCACGAAATTGGAAACTTTGCCTCTCGAGATGGCCCCACCATGGGGAGCAATTTGTGAGACAATGCAAGACGAGATGTTGCTTGTCGACTTCAAAAACGCACAGGCATGGAATGAATGGGTTCAGACGAAGGAATGGCAGGATTTCATGCAGAAGACAGAGAAGGGGGGCGTTTTCAGGTGCCTCCACCATGAAGCATGCACCAATAGTTTAAGGGGTTTGAGGGGCCCTATCGGGGCCATAATGGCCGTGATTGACAGCTTCAACAGTGGTATGTTGGAAAAAAAAAACACTTTTTTTTGTCAGACCAAACTCCAGAATATGAGAAGAATGTCGATATACGAAATCAAGCCCATCCAGTTCTTAACTCCCAGAGGAGGCGAGTCTCCCATTGGTTTAAGCAAGCTCTCCTGTATATCTACTGCTCTCGAAAATCGACTCTTTGAACCCCTGATGTTTCCGATGGGGGAGGTTCTTCAGTACCTTTCTCCGTGGGAAAAGGGGGTGCAATTTTACAGTTGCGACTTTGGAGTTGTACTTTTTTGACCCCCTTTTCTTCTCAAGATGTTCAAAGGCCTCACAAGTTAGCCAATGTATTCCATGGGGTGAAAGGTAAAATGAAATCGTTCATGGACATCCCCCTTCAAGGGCAAACGGGAATATAGCAGACACACTGGGATATGTCAGGATCAGATATCTCTCTAGCTATCCATGCGAACGAAATGCGAGTCTCTCGAAGAGCTTTACAACAACTTTCTAGTCCAAATATGGGAAGAGTCGTGCGGACGATCCTACTAACCCAATACAAACCTTCAAAAGGCCAAGAGAAAACGATGTCGCTGTCCTAAGAGTCTCACCAAAGACGATCCATACACAGGTTATTTAAAATTTCAAAAGTTCAAAAAGATATTTTACAAGACGATGAATCCGTATGGTATGGATTCAAACGTCGCCGTGACCATACTGTAAGGCTCTTACATACGTTGCACACGGCGTACTTCCTTACCCTGAAGGCTGGGAGCCAAGCATGCCCAGAACGGAATGTCGCAACAGAGCAAAGGGAGAGAGAAAAGGAGTGGGAATGGAGCAGCCTTGGAAACAGCAGCAGTGGCCCCGTGGATCCTGCCCGCCATCACCCGCTCCCAGCTCTTGGCGTTCGATCTACGCGTCCCGGGCTTGGCGCTCGGGGCTTGGCGATGAGAGGAGCTTGGCATTTTCCTCCTTGTGGAAGTGTAACCACCACCGACCCGGGCTCCTCAATAACAGCTCTTACTATTTGCTTGGCCGCCTCAAAATCAGCAGCACTATTGGCTTACTGAGGGAGGTTCAGTCGTCTTCTGCTGGCGGAAAAAAAAAAAAAAAAAAAAAAGCTCACGCTCCTTCTATGACGAGTGCCAACGGATGCGGTGACTCTGTTGATGAAGAGGAGATGTGGCAGTGAACCGCTGTACGCCCTGAGACAGGGGCTTAGTCGATATCTACTCCCTGCTGTTAGGCAAAGGAGACGTTCTCCCGAGTTCGACCTCGACCTGTTCGAAGCCGGCCCATCTTTTCTACACGATCTCATGAATTAGGATCCGTTGTGGATCTTCTTCTGCTGTCCCAGACAGTCGAAAACAAATCAAATCGAAAGAGTTTCGGTTCCTGGAGATCAACTACACCCAGAAAGTGTGTGGGGTGAGAGCGAAGACCAACCGACCATTCGTAACTCCATTTACCTATTGCCAATTCCGCTACGTCAAACGACCAACACATTCCACAGAAAGCTAGCCATTTGGGCACCAATCTTTGGTGGGAGATTGCCATTACACTGCCAAGCTATCCTATGTATCCTTCCTGAGAACAAAGGATACGCAGTGCTGTTCCATGGAATGGGCTTACGCAACTTCTGCCCTCCTCCATTTACTGCATGCCGCACACTCGGATTACTTCCGCTCAGAGGAGCCAAGAGCTAGATATGTGTTTGCTTAATCGATGCTTGACTGTCGCGAGCAATAGGGCCGAAAACGTCGATTGACCCTTCCACTTACTTACACAGCTAACCAGTTGGTTCCGCTGCACCCAGAAAAAATATCATGTTATAAATAACTACGAGTACGACGACTCTTGTCATGTAGTTGGCAACAAAATGTTACAACCTCGAGTCATCACTTTCCGACATGCACCACACCACTTCCTGGATGCTCCCACCAGTCATCTACCTGGCGACCAATCGGCGTCAGTTATTAGCTGGTTTTCTTTTTATTTGGCCACCATTTCTGGGGTTTTGCCCCTCATTTCTCTAAAATTGACGTTTCACCGAGAATGCCGAAAATGCCCTAAAAATGAAACCATCCGAGGATGCGTCGGAAAGCTGCAGAATTCAAGTAGAAGTAAGGTGTTTGCAATTCAATTCGCGGCCCTGTGCTTTGATGTAACTTATCTCACCAACTTATACTCCGTACTAATTACGGGGTTGATAGATATGGGCCTCGGCTTTGGCAAATAGGTCTCCTGTATCAAAAGACTTTTTCTTCATCAATGCACAGCCGCGGGATACATCCGTCAACAAATTACACACACAAAAATGGTGACACGTACCACACCCGAAATAGCTCAACCAGGCCGCTAGGGTCAGGCGAAATCGCATATATGTACTGTTCGGTACATTAATATGCGGATGTCGTCCCATGGATTTGAATTCGAGAACTTTTAAAAATCGCAGACCATATATAAATATATCCATCGTATCAAATGTTCGCGTGGCCTGCGGGTACGATCTGTACGAATTCAGACAATCGTGGATTCTCCAGCGATATTTTTCCCTCGGCCTACATTTTTAGAAGGCGAAAACGAATCCAAACATCTATCATCCCATAACGGGGCATTAATTGGTCAATGTGGTAGAAAATCAAAAAAAAAAAAAAAAAAAAAAATACAAATACAAATAAATATACAAATAAGAAGCTACATCATTTGGGCCGTGTGTTCATGTCACCACCTCGTCAATTCCCCCCGTTCAATTTCTCATAAGATAAATAAATGGGTTTGCTTGCATTTGCCATCTACAAACCTGAAGCGACACAAAACGTAAACGACAGCGTTGGTGATGGATGGCGGCAGTTATTGTTGAGGAATGGATGACGCTGCATGGCTTGGCAACATAGGGATTCCGTCTTCTTGTTTTTGAAGTTTGTCGGCTTGCCGTATGTCTATACGCGCGGCAGATGCAGTCGGTCTTCTGCATGCCCCAGTCGCCAGCAAAAGAGGAAGACTACGTTGTTTTTGCCAAGATGATATTGAGGCCGGGGACAGAAGCACCGGGGCGGAGTCATCAAAGGAAAATAAACAGCCTGGGCGAAAGAGAGCTACACAAGACAGAGTGTTCCTCAGTTTGCTTCAAATGTTTTTCTTTCCGTTTATCTTTCATTCCATCTTTGCAAAAAAGAAAGAAAAAGAAAAACAACGCCCAACGCCCAACGCATCGGATCTACAACGCAGGGCCAAGACTCCACCAGAATTGTTCCATTCGATCGATTCCCCCTTTCCACCAGGAGAAGCCGTCCGGGCTGTGCCTGTGTGCCTTGCGTATGCAGACGAGATGGGGCCAACTACAAGTACAAAGTACATGTACTTGTCCTTGTAGATTCGTTGACTTGGACAAAAATAAAGTTAAATTTAGCTGAAAAATAGTATAGCCTTCCGTACCTACTACGATTATTGTCTCCGACGAGAGTTGTAGATCACACTGGCATTCATTCGCCCCCAAGAGTGTATAACAGTATTACCAAACAGGATGAGGCGGACGTAAAAGTACCTAACCCCCATAAGCACCCATTGCCGGATGATGTTCGTACAAAAACCTCCCGCCAAGCCAAGTGTTGCATCTGGAGGAGACTATTACTTCCCATTTAATTTACTTCTCGCTCTCCTGCTCAGGACAAGACAAGCACTTGGCCGCATCTATCTACACGGACTACGGACTACGTACGGACTAACTTCCTGCGTTACTCCGTAGCCAAGCCAATAATCTCTGGTCTCTCCGTCCGTACGACGCCTTCTCTCAAAATGCCAAGTGCCAAGAAAAATGCAGAAAAAACACCGCCCGCCAAGACCCCGGAATCGGTGGGGATCGGCAGATCTCCGCCCAGGATTTGTCCCCCCGTTGAAGCAAACAAACAACCCAAAGCACCAAAGCCGCATGATTTGACTGACGACGAACAATGGAGATCCTCATTACGCGCTGGGGGAAGGCTCGGCTTGGGGCGTTACGTTAGGGTGGTTTGAAACAGAATAACAGCGCGTAAAAAAAGAAGAAAAAAGAAAAAAGAAAAAAGAAAAAAGAAACAGAAGAAATAGAAGAAACAGAAAACAGAACCCCCTTTCTAACGTTCTTTTTTTTGGCTTATTACTTACTAGTAACTATTTATTAGTAGTAGATATTTTATTTATTTTTTCCCCATGGTCGATTTAGGTATGTAATGTATGTATAGGTAGTTAGATATTATTATTTTTTCAAAAATCAGGAGAAATTCTCCTTCCTTCCTTCCCTTTCCTTTCAGTTACTCAGCGAAGATGATTTAGTTATAAGAAACTAGTAACTAGTTATTGGTTACTATCATTGGATTCTTCCAGACTTGGTATCGTACAGCTGGCTAGCCAGGTCTGTTTGTTTCACAACCGCTGCCCGGATGATGAAAGATATAGTATAGTATAGTTAATCACAACCCATCAGAATCTCCTGAACACAGACAAGGTATCAGTTGACGCCATTTTTGCATGCGAAGTGTGTGTGCGTGTGTGTGTGTGCGTGTGTGTGTGTGTGCGTGCGTAATCGAGGCGTTTCCTACTTACGTAGTTACTGTAAATGTATGCAATGAAGGATCGAGATGGAGAAGATAGTAAACTACGTGGTCAGTATACGTTATATTTTGCTGACCCCGTTGGCTGGTGCCTTGGGGAACATAAAAAAGAAAGCCCCTGAGAATAACATAACTAACTACAAATCAACAACCCATATAATGAATAGGTACTATCTGGTCGGGTAAGAAGGAATATAATCAAAATCAAGCATCCTCATTAGATGATAGATAACTTTTGAAATCACAAACCGGTGAAACTGCGCCGCACAGTCCACGTATAGATATATTGATTGCATCTGTACAAGAATGTTCAAGGCACACTTTTATATACATGTTAAAAAAAAAAAAACCCCCGAAAACCCAGTGATATATGGCAGAACAACGCAGATAAATAAAACGTAGCAGACCATGGATGAAAATAAAAAAAAAGTTCAATGTTTACAACTAACCCAATAATTATTACCTAGTGAATTTTATTCAGAGGGAATCAAATGTCTTTTTAATAAAAAAAGAAAAACAAAAAGGTACAAAGAGAGAAAAAGCGGAAAATGGCGATCTCACAAGTTACGTAGAGGGAAATGTTTTGAAAATGATGCATGACAGTAGCAGCGGGGACACAACCCCTTCGAAACGGGCTAGCGAATAAAACAATAAAGGACAAGGCAATGATGGACGGCACCATACATACAGACCAAGAATGAGATGGAACAGGGAAAAAGCGAAAGCCACCATCGTCGACGTGTATATGTGCAGTGTCGCGCAGCAGGACATAAAATAAAAATTGAAACATGGATAATAAAATGATAAAAAAAAGCATAGTGGTTTGAGATATCATGAATAGTTAAGAGTAGAGCAAAGAGAAAATGCCAACCCATAACCCCAATGCAGGAGGAAAGATGAATAAAGGAAACGGGGATGGAACACTAGAAAGTGGTTGAGTAATAGAGAACTGGTCCACACAATATATGCTAGAAGCATCACGGAAATATCCACCCTCCGCCAACGGTAAACCTAGAGGTGAAACATAACGAGCGAAAGGTTGAAGAAACAAAAGAAAAAAAAAACGCAAGGTAATGTGGTATAAACAAATAGAAGATATAGTTGGGCGAGAATTTATTTACGAAAGAAAAGTTAAGTCATGACGAGGAGAGCCTTAAACGTTCACTGATATCCATCGCCCATATCGAATCGATGCTGCGGGAGTAGTTTTTTCGAGGGGGGAAAATGGTGATGAGTTTTCTGCACCACCATCTTGCTAGCTAATTTGTGGCTACCGCTACTGGCGACGTCGATTGAAGTGACAACTTTTGATGGATCGAGGGGTTCCGGAGCGCAGCATTCGATGGTTTTGAAAAAGCGGTCTTGCATGACCTCTTGGATATTGGCGCGTTTCGCAGGGTCGGGATTGAGCATCTTGAGAAGGAGGCGTCTCATGCCAAGATATTTAATATGCCGGAAAAGTCGCCCGCAATTGGGGTAGTCATCCTCTGTAACGACTCTGTCCGGATCTTGCTTCAGGAACCGATTCCAGCCATCCAGAAAGGTGGCGTATTGAAAGTGTTTCACGTCAGCTGCCGGCCAGGGGCTAGCGCGAAATCGAAGGCAGAGGTAGACGATGGCACAGGACCAAATATCAAGAGGGCGAGGGTCATATTTATCTGAGCGCCAAAAGTCAGCAGCCATAACCATAAATTCTAAAAAAAAAAAAAAAAACTTACCCTTCTTTGCAAGCACTTCAGGGGCTATATATGGCAAACTGCCACATATACCTGGGGAGCATAAGCGGACACCGTTCATCTCTTTACCACATTGTCCGCCAGAAGAACGCAGGCCAGGGTGAATGCCACTGAACACCTCAGAAACGCCGAAGTCGGTGATTTTAATATGGCCCTCATCCGAAAGAAGTAAATTCTCCAGCTTGATATCACGGTGGGCAATGCCGTTTTCGTGCAGATAGGCAATGCCACGCACAGTTTGTTTAAAGAAGCATAGATTATCAGCGTCAGTGAGATAGTCCTTCTGAACTAACGAGAACACCTCTCCATAAGAGCACATCTCCATGACATGGTTCCATCGTCCATTGTGTATGCAAAGGCGAAATGTCTTGACGATGTTAGGATGATCGAGGCTTTTCGCGATCGAAAATTCGGATTTAACCTTTTTCACATATTCATCCTCGTCCTCCTGCTGTCCACGTTTCCTAAACTCTTTTACTGCATAAAGGTCATGTCTTTTCCCGTGTTTCCGGCACATAACCTTGACGGTTGCAGTCGCACCTTTTCCAATTTCTTTAGCCCGTTTCCCTGGAACTCGACTGGCACTGACATATTCTTCGTCTAATTCGCACGTGTCGACGTCAAAGTCGTCCGGAAAACTTGCACTCATCCGACGTGACTTTAACCCCACACCCTCGACAGCGGGTATTGAGAACCCAGGACGTTCCGGTTGGCTTTGCACATCGCTCAAGCTCGGTGATCGTATTTTCTGATCTATCCTATTGGGTCTCGGAGTCGAACCAAACATGATCTTGCCCCGCTCCCTTAAACTGAGACCCGTCGATGCTCGAGCAGGTATCTTTTGGGCCAAACTCGATTCTGATGGCGTTGAGCTGCTTAGCATGGCTGCAACACCACCATTAAAGGTACTCGAGGGTGAAAATGGAGAACGGGGTGAACCCGAATGTGATGAATTGGTTGGTGAATTGCGGGATGCTGACGGGAACAAGCCATGATGTATATTGTTGGTGAGTATCGAGATATTGTGGGGTTGGGTAGTTTCTTGTGGACCAGAATTTGATGTTGGTGCTGCAGGATCATCAGCACCGCTACCGGTACCCTTTCTTTTTCGGAAAAGCGACTTTATAGACTTGGATGCAGATCTCAACGGTGAATGGCGGCGGATCAGTGGTGGGGGAGGTGTTTTGGAAGGACAATTTGTTGGACGAGACGAGGAGAGGTCAGTCGGAGGGAGTTCATCAGCGTTGTTAATTATCGGCTTTGACACCTTGCCATGCGGATGATCATTGTTGAAATGAGGCGGGTGGATGGTGCTGATCGGAGTCAATGGTTCACAAGGCTCACTGGCGGTGTCCTCGTCCTCCTCTACTATAGCCGGTGGTAAGTCTGCTAGACGGACATTTTCGAGTTCCGGATCTGTTGAAAGTGTCAGGCTTTGAAGATGTGCTGGGAGCCGGTTAACGCCCTGTTCAAGATTGCCGGCTGCTGAGTGGTCCTCCGATGGGTGCACGACATGATTTGATATTATTAGGCCCGACATGTCTGCTTACACCCACCCAAAAATCCCATTCACTTCAGGTATACAAACCCCAGGTTTGTATAATTTTTTATTTTTTTTTTATATTCCGTATTTGTTTGACGCAAAACGCAACGTCAAACGAGACCCAGGAATTGACAGGGCAGGGAAATCGATTTGGGTCCGACCAGAGGGGATAAACCAATATTATACACTTCTCTTGCTTCTTGAATCTTAAGTAACCTCGGCGTTGGGGAATGGATGGTAAGCGATATTGAGGAGGCAAGAAATATGATTCACAGTGTTGATATTTTTAGTTGAACGATCGAATGACGGTTCGCGGGACGATCGAAAATTCGGGGGATCGGAAGGAGAGCAGAGGCCCAGAAGCCGTCAAAGCGCAAATGAGCTTGGGGACGAAAACTTTGAGACGGAAGGGATGGCGTAGACTAAGCCCGCTGAAGTGAACTATAGCGACTAGAGGGAGAGAAGTGATGTCGCGGGGCGAAGGTGAGGGACGATGGGGAGCAGATCGAATATATAGAACCCATCAGAAAGCCAGATAGAGGGTGTCACGGGCTGCTGGAAGAAGTAGAGTGGAGAGGTATGAAAGCCGAATGTAGGAGAAGAGTGGAGATGATAAGAAGAGAATAAGAGAGGAAGAGAAGAAGACAACAAGATAAAGAAAGCAGGAAGGCGGTGTTAAGGGAGAGAGTTGGAAGACAAGAGGCGGAGGACGACGACGAGGAGGAGGCAGTGGAGGAACAGGAGGAGGGACAACGACCGCAAAGTGACATGGGTGGGAGGCGTGCGTGCGGTGATGGACTTCGCGCCCGAACTAGCGCGGTACGGTCTTGTAACAGTATCGATGATGTGTGGGATGCTTGGAACATTTAAAACATGTCCCTTATTTATACCGGTCCAAACCGTATTAATGTTCCCCACGTATCGTACCGTATCGTATGTATTCACAAATTGAAAACGAAAAAAAAAAAAACCTTGCCAGATGATCTCATCGAATAACGAAAACTAGTTTCACAAAATATACTCTATCAGTTGTACTCGCTCAATCGGGGTGGAAGATGCGGCACTTTTGCACGTCCTCTTCCTCCCACTAATTATTCATATTATGATTGGCTCTTATCGGGATCCATTGGAATGCCCATCATCATCAACAGCCCACGCCAAGGCAATCATAATCATGTAGATGAAAAAAGCCTACGCACTCCGTACTCATGGCATACAAGCATTACTACGACACGGTGGGGTTTCCCTTTTGGAATCATTTGTGTGTCGTTCAGGAATGGATCATTTCATTGCTCTCGCTTCCATCTCTTTCTTCCTTTAACCCTTTGCCCCCATCAAAAAATAATAATAAAATAAAAATAGCAAAAAATACTAGCAGCTTTGTTTTGCCCGACCTTCCGAAGAGAGTAACTATTGTAAACGAAGATAGAAATATCAATATGGATATATATGTATTGCCCAGCTGCCGACCAATGCTGGTGAGATCGTTGCTCGGAGAAGGCGATAAAGTGGCAGAGAAAGGACGGACAGTTTTGGTGTGTAAGATTCAAGATTCCTTGCTTCCGAATTCTTGAATTCAGAGAGGAGGCCGTGGCCATAATGAAAAGGTGTATTGTGTATCCCTGGACGGTATTGATATTGATATTGATGTTGATGTTGATGTTGATGTTGATGTTGATACCGTATCCAACGCTGCTGCATGCAAAAGGGCATCTCTCTTCTTTCTCAATTTATGCACTCATTTTTTCTCCTTTCCAAGTAGAACATTGTCCCCCGATGTACTAGTTTATTATAGTTGTGAATTATACAATTCACAGATCCTAAAAATCCCCAACATCCCCAACATCTCACTAGATAACCCCACGACAATCCCCCTTCTCACCCCACACCGAGTTCTAAATATAAGAGCAAAAGGAAAAAGAAAAAGAAAAAAAAAACTTGTTGACCATTTCTAGTTGTCTCTTCTTTTATCTCCAAATGTATCAATCAAAGAATTCGCCAACAAGAAAAGAAAAATATAAAAATAAAGTCTAAACAGAGCCATTTTCCCGAACCATGTTCTTGGGGGAAAAGAAAGCTCGGTATTGCTTGACAACTTCTGCCTCCCTCGCCCTCTCAAACATAAGTATGGGATATGCCGCCTCATCATTGTCAAAGACAGGCAGGCTGCACAATAATGATGAGAAGAGGATTTTATGATGGGGACGGGGAGGTTAACTTGTCCGCAACTTTGCTAGCGGAGGTACATGTACATGGACGTGGGGATCTTCTTACCCCTTGGGGAGGGAGGAGAAAGCGGTGAGTGGTAAACACTTTTTGCCTCTTTGCTCTGTTTGCTGACTCGGTATTCATCGATTTGATTATTCGAACCTTTCCACCCCACGTAACTATAACGGCTTATTGTTCTCACATACCGTGGATATTGTGTGATAGCTGGATATTTACGAGTAAGACTCACTACATATGTCCTTTTATTGATTCTTTTTCTTTGATGAATGCAATTTTGGCACTTGTGAAAAAAGGAGTAAATAAAAATACTCCTTGGCTCGCCGCATCGCGCCGCATCGCACCGCAGAGGTTGTTCTTCTTGCCTTCTAGAACGGCAGTTTAAAGTGTGGCGGGCGCGGATATTTTTATATTCTGGTACTGATGATATCGGAACCAATGTTACCCGCGTATGAGATTTCGGCACGCAACTTCCATCTCCAGTATCCTTCTTGGGTGCCTCGGTACTGTCCGTCTGTGTTGTTTGAGTATTGATCTGATCATAGTCGACTGACTGCATTCCCCAGCAATGGGCAGTTTTGGTGTGAATTATTTTGGGGCATACGTCTGGGGGTGGGGTCAGATCACCAGCCAGTCGGGACAGTTGTGCCGTGGTTTTTTTTTCTTTTTTCTTTTTTCTTTTTCTTTTCATTTTAGCGCTGTATGTATTCCGTAACCATACATACCGTGTATTGAAAGATTTCGTATTCGGTTCTTTTTTTTGCCCGGCGCCGGTGGCGGCTCCGCAAACATCGCAACCCTCTGGTTCTTCCGCAGTTGCAGTGGACAGATGCATCGCTGCTCCTGCCGTCGGCAACTCCGAGATACGGCAAGAATCATAATCATCATCCTTGGGGTTCGCCTTGCACGCAAATTCAAAACTTGAACCTTGATTCTTTTCTTGGATGGGCGCTAATCCAGATGGCCAAAAATATAGTAATTAGAAGTACAGTACGACTTGCCATTCGCGAGAGCAGTCAAGGGATAAGAAGAGAGGTAAAAGGGAAGGAGGAGGATAAGAGCGTTTTCAAGCACCACCCACTTCCTATACTCTCTTATCTCTCTATCTTCCCCATTTTCTCCGCATTCATCCCCAGAATGACGTGCATAAAAACAAAAAGAAAAGAATTAAACATCAAGCGCGATATGAACAAGAAAAAGAACTCCGCCGAGCGAGAGATCAGAGCTCATACCAATGATATTGGCTTCTGGAAGCACGAGGTCTTGTCTGCCTCTCCAGGATTGAACTGACCTTTGTCGCTTTTACGGCGTTTTCAAACCTTCTTCGCCCATGTGGGTGGAGCAGTGAGTTTATCTCGTCTTCGTAGTCGTCGTCGTCGTCGTCCTCGCCTGGGTTTGGAAGATGACGATGGAAGAAAAGAGGGAAGCCTGGGGAACAAGATAAAGGATGAGTGCGGTTGCTGCTCACACACCTTCTCCGCGGGGCCCCGGCGGTGGATGGAACCATGACGAAATGTCAGGCGTCCTTCAAAAATTTCCCCAAAACCGCCGGCTGAAATAGATTACGTCGATACGACCATACATGCACTGTCTTGTCTTGTCGGCATCCGGGGTGAAGATAAGCGCGATCACGACAGAGGCCAACCCCCAATGTTCATTGCCACTGGGGCATTTCATCAACAATGTGTATTCTGTAATGAATATGTGGAAATGGACTAAGTTACCCCGGGCGCCCCCCATCCCCGGGGTCGCTGGTGAACAACACAAATAACCGCCCCAACAAATCTGACATGGCATACATCCTAGGAGTAATGAAAAGAAAAAAAAAAGAAGAATAGAACAGCGATATTCCTCGATCCACCCAATAACTACAGGACAACAAGAACCCACGTCTGCGGGTTGGGAGGGGGAACCCGGTTCATCGTGATCGTGATGACCGGGAACTCACCCCACCAACAACCGCGGATATCCTGGCTGCTCTGCTCCAATTCTGGAAATTTGAAAAATCGGAGCGCGGGACTTTCTTCCCGCCTCGTCGTCTACTTCTTCTTCCATATGCCAGCCATTCCTGGATCGCTTGTTGGTTGATGGCAGTTAGATCGGGTTTACTCGGACCCCACGCGATCCATCCCACCGCCGCATACGCCCGCATACGCCCGCATACATTCACAGGAGTACATGCATACACCCGCGCGCAACCTCCTGCCTGGCTGGCTCAGGGTCTGCGTTGCTATTCCACTCAGGGCTTTCCTCCCAACCTCACGAGAGTTCTTCTCAAAGGAGTCTGCCATTGAAATATTACTGTGTATGATTGGGGTCCTCGGTCCTCGACTCCTTGGTCCTGTGCTAGGGTGCAGGGCGTGGGGAAAAATACACAACTACGTGGCAACCTTTGCTCCACCTACACTTTGGGGCGTCTTTTGCGCCCTGGGGATGGTGCCTTCTTTGGTATGATAGATATATTTATACTGTTGTCTTCGTTTATCTGTTTCTCCTTCGTTGGCTTCACCAACCTGCAACGCGACCATTGATTGCATGGCTGCTACTGCTTGAGTGTCGTCACGTTGCACAAGGTGTGTTTCCCCACGTTTAAACTATGATATCCCTGTGCGGGATGAGGAAGCCTCGCAATCAAACCTGGCTGGAACGGTGATACACTTTTGTACCCCTCTGGTTGCCCTCAGAGGGAAGGGGGGAAACCTATGAGACACCTCCTGTGTGGAACTATGTGCACGTTTCTCCGCACCCGAACAGTGGCTTCCCCCTGTACTCTCCGTTCAAGCAACACGATGGGGGATCGTCATATTCTCTGGCTCTCCTGTTCAGTTTTGATGGAGCAGCCCGTGGATTGTCTGCATGCCTGAATCGAACCTGAACCTGAACCATCAACGGCCGCGCCTACCACCGCCCAGCACGCGCCAGCCCAGATCAACACAATAGAACTTTGTTCGGTTGCGAAAACTCCGAAATCCTTGTACCACAGCACCGGTATTTTGGATACAACGATGGCAACTGTCAAATTTTGATCTTGGATCAGATCAACCCAACCACTGGGCCTGGGGGTTGATGTTTTTGCAACGGAAGCTGAATTTTTCCTTCAGGGCGCGGGTCGGAGCAGCTACGTTTCCCAATTCTCAGGAGATTGGAAAAGGAATGATATGGACAGGGAGCCCCTCGGTTGATTTGAGTCGGTGCTCCAAAGTCTATTATTCCCCAAATTCCCTATCCACCTTGACAAATCCTGCGGATATGATTTCTTCCCGCAACAACAGGCGGTTTCGTCTACATCATGCCTGACAATGGGTATGTACTGTACATTTGCAGCCCCTATTTTTGAGAGCTTTACACCCCGAAACACATGCACACCCAAAGCTATGGCTTGGACAGTCAGTCATTGGGTGAAGGTATAAGCCAGCGCTGAAAGAGCGGAGCGAATACATTTGAGCCCGTGAGTTTGAAGGAGCAGGATCCCTAAGGGAGGGGATGGTGATATGTTGTTCGCGTCAGGTGCCTTAGCTTGCCCCAAGGTTCGCGTTCCAAGGACAAGCTAGCTAGCAAATTAGCAATGGCAATTGCAGTTTTAAGCTATATCAGGATTTATGAAATATCAAAGTTCCGAGAAGAATTTCCGCACTCATTCCCAAGATACACACATCTCCAATGCTGGCTGTAAGACGAGCCTCTGACTCCAGGCTCCTCCTCCCTCTTCCTTGTTCATTGGACCGGATCTTTTAGCCATGTGCGGTGTAGCCCACACAAGGGTGAGTAGTAAATAAGTAGGTAGGTAGGTAGGTAGCTGTGCAAAAGGGGGCCAATATATGTCCAGAACTAGCATATCGATTCAATCCTCCATTGAACGCCCGATAGCATTCGGAACCGAACCAGCTCCTCGCCGTGCCGGTTCCTGGAGCATTTAAGCCTAACTAGCAGCTACCTACTTGCCTATCCACCACCACCGCTCCCGGCTCTCACCACTGCCCAATTTCCCCGTTTGAGCGGGCTTCTCCCCTTATTTTTCTTTTTTTTTTTTTTTTTTTGTGGGGTTGAAATGAAGTGAAATAAATCTAGTAGAAGACACACCAGGACCTTTCGTATGTATGCAATATGTATGGAGAGTTACAGCACATGTAATTAATAAAACCACGCCGAAAATTGCCGAGGAATACATATATATAAATATGTACTGCACATGTGTGTGGGGTGGAAATTATGCCACAAGGCAATTTCCCCCCTCCTCCCCATAAATAAAATAAAAATACCTCACTGGAACGTAACGTGCCTGACTAGCCCAGCCCCTTGGTAATTTTTCGCAGGGGTTTTTCTAAAAAAAAAAAAAAAAAAAAATTCCTTTTTTTCTTTTTTCTTTTCTTTTTCTTTTTCTTTTTTCTTTTTTGTATGAGGGATTTCTGAAGGGTTTTTTTTGGTTGCTTTGTTCCGGAAGGGGCAAGCCTGCACACGAGCGATGAAAATAGTTGAACTAGGGCAAAGTGAGTGCAAGTACACACCCCCTTCCAGGATTTTAAATCCATTTAACTACATCAACTTCTTCTTCTTCTTCTTCTTCTTAACTAGTCTATTCAGCAGTTCCATACATCTCTTTCAACTATTTTACAACTCTCAGTGTATTGGGTTTTTCAACACGACGTGGATGCTCGTACTAGCAGTTACTAGCACATGCTCATGCTGCATAACATTCTGAATGCAATAACCAGTTAAAATAATAACTAACTAGTATCAAATATACCTCCCTACAATTCCCCCCCCCCCCCCCCCGCCCTGCGCCCGGGCCTGAGAGCTTGTTTCAGGATTAAGCATTGGTCCCCGTTTGTTTGCTTGAGACCACCCTCGTTCAGTAATTATTTTCCTCCAGTACGCAGTTAGTTAGGAACAACAACGACAACAACGGACAACAACGGCGACGACGACAACGGCAACACCGAACGTCATCTGTGCTACATACACATACGCGACGACGTGCATGCACGGGACCGTACAATGCACGTGTAGGGAGAGGGTTAGGTTTTGCCGGGTGTTTGAACCAGCGAGGCCATGTGCGAATGCAATGCTGTCCCACCCATCTATCCCCCATTCATTCACCATTCACCATTCCGCGAAAAAAAAAACTTCCTGGGAGCCCCGAGGCTCCGTGCGTTCTGTCATCCGCATTGTCACCAGGCTGATAGGCTGGCTGATAGGCCGGCTGTTTGTTTCCAGCAACATGAGGATTGTAGTAGATAAGATTCTCGGGATAGAGTTAAGGTTGACTTGCCCCTCGATGCCTAGAGACGGACACGGACAACGGACACGGACTGACTCGTTACAAAGCCATTTTCATCTCCTTGGAGAAAGGTTCCGGAGCCACTTTTTGTTTCTCGCGTGATTTAGTAGCTTGTGCTCTGTTTTTGTGGCGGTGAGGAACAATGGAGGAAAACAAGAAAAAAAAAGAAATAACAGGAAAGATAATCCAGACAGGACAGACGACCTTATCATCATTAACTACTAGTATTAACAGCACCAGACACCAATTATATAAATATTGTAAGTTACCGGTACCAGTGTCCAAGGACCAAAACATGTGCTTGGACAATTTGGGCGTATGACATAATTCTACCACCTACAGAGGAAGAGAAGTTGTCTGTGTGTGGTGGAATGAGTCAACATCAAAAATACCACGAGTTCTTTGCTCGCCTTGATCAACTTCTTTCTGGTAAACTGCGGACGCACTACCATGGTTCTTTATGACTTGGGTTTGGAATCTTCGTCGAATGAATCCATCCCAGCAGAGAGCCAGCCATTATCTGGGGGAGATTTCCCCATGGCGAAATGACATACTGCTTCTTTTTCCCCCCACTCTTCTTTTCGTTTCATTTCTTTTCATTTCTATATTGTACTGTAACTACTTCAAGTCCTGTGCTACATCGGGGAAAAGGGAAAAGGGAAAACGAAGACGATCTTCTTGGCTGCCTGGCCAAGAAAATGCTTGTTTTTTTTTGTTGTTGTTGTTGGGAGGCTCTTTCGTGAAGTAAGGAGAGAGGGAAAAAATAGTTCCTCGCTATTCTCTCTCTCTCCCTCTCTCTCTCTTTTTTTTTAAAAAAAAAATTCTTCCCAGATGGATATGTATAGAAACGAGGCAGGGAAACAAGCCTTGTTGAGACTCGAGAGTGAGCTGTCAACTTTCTCCATTGCCCCATCCCCCCATCCCCCCATTCCTGCATGCTCCCGTTCCGACAACGATATGATGTGATGGCCACCTGGTGTCCCTCATCTTCACAAAAAAAAATAAAATAAAAATAAAACGGTGGATTCTTCTGTTCCGCCTCGAACAAAATTCATACTACGACCTTCTCCAGATGTTGTTTCCCCCTTTCCTTCCCTTCCAAAAGAGGAGTCGTGTGTCATTTACTGCATCGAGAGGCCTGTGCGCTGATTTGAGTGCTTGCTGGATGTATGTAATATATGCGTTTATATGTATATATATATATATAAGAGTTTACGATTCCCGGGCACAAGGAGAATAATGACACCGTAAAAAGAAAAAGGAAAGAAGAAAGTTATAAAAATGAAACGGAGTGCGACGAAAATTAACCAGAATGAAAGAAACGACAAGTTGATGTTTGGATATCGTAACTGCAAATAAACAGGAGGGAACAAGTGGCTACAGAGTTGAGGATCCCCCTTCCCCCCAGGTAGAAAGGAGAGAAGGGAAATTGAGAAACCAATAAAATAGCTGACGACGGTGAAATACGCTGGGGTAGAGCAGATAGCAAAGTTCTTTTTAAAAAGGAAAACGGTTTAAATAAAATGGTAAAAAAAACCCCGTGTAAATAAAGAATTAAAACAAACCCATCTGGCAAAATCCGAACCCGAATCGAGCAATCAAAGCCAATGATTTTGGAGGTAAAAAAAACCCCCCCAGCAAAGAAAGGATCCTTTTTCTTTTTCTTTTTCTTTTTCTTTTTTTTTTTTTTTTCTCATTGCGTGCCCTGTAGCATGGAGATGGCCTGTTCACGAAGCTTGAACTTCTGAATCTTCCCGCTTGCCGTCTTGGGGAACCCGGACGCATCGTTCATGAGGAAGACGTATTTCGGTACTGTATGTACGGGGAACGGCCGGGTTAGCTGAATTTGTATTTTCTTTAATTTAATTTGTTTCTGGATTTTTTTTTCCTCCTTTTTTTTATGGATCCTCACTCCTGCTGCTGCTGCTGGTTTTGTGGAATGTGGTGGTCTCTTTTTCTGTCTTGTATTCTTGAGTCTTTTTCCCCCCTCATTCTGCTTTGCCCAAGGGTTTGGAGGGAGGCTTAAGGCTTGGGGGTAGGAGGAAAAAATAAATAATTTGGCTTGCTCAATAATGAATTTTTCTGAGCGGGTAATGGACTCTCGTAATGCAATTGGGAAAATGAAAAGGGCATGTAAACGATATGTCATGGCTTAGCGTAAGTTTGAACCCAAGGGAGCAGACACGAAGGGAACGTGCGGTGTGAGGGGTAATGACTGGGTCTGGCTGGCTGGGAGCATTCGCCAAGCATGACAAAACGTGGGGGAGGGACAGCAGCATCTCAATTGATTTGCATGACGAGCCGTAATCGTCAACGCTTGAGGAGATGGACATGGAAATGATGGGCTAGGTGCTTTTGCCTTCTTTGGAAGACGGGAGGGAGGAGAGTGGCTCTGGTAGGATTGTCTTGCTTGAGATATTCAAACAAGCCTCTTGACCAAATGAGAGAGTCAGGCGGCACTATACGATGCGACACTCCGAGAACTCAAGGACGAGTAAGGAAAAATAAAAATAAAAATCAATATGGCACTTCGGGGGACCAGAAGGAAGGCACGAGATATGCGATCATTACTTGAGGGATGTTCTTCCGAGGCAAATGGTGAATTGCGATGCCCTTGGTCAAAACACGCACGAATCGCGGCTGAGGATTTCCCGTATTGACAAAATAATGGCAAATCCGCAAATCCTCGTCCAGCATACGGTGAGCGTGACACAGCTGGGCGGGGAAACGGACAGAAGCATTTCATACGCGTGGGGAAATGGCTCATAATGATAGCGATTGGGTTTTGGATGGAGCTATGACCCCGCCGTGTGGAGCGCACCGTGCATCGAAAAACAGGGCAGAGAAAAACAAGCACGACAAGCAACGGATGATCTGAGAATTGGCATCTTGGCACATCTTGGAGCGGCTGGCAAAGACAGCACACGTTGAGACCAGGCAATGACATCGCACCTCGTGGCTCGATTTCCATCCTTTGGCGATAAAGGGGCGTCGTGTAGAGCCAATATAAAGCCAATATTATTTTTAAATACTCGAGGCCAGATTCAATGCAACCACAGTTCACAATTGAACTGCACCCTCCACGCAGGCGTAGCAGCAGGTAGGACAACATCTAAGGAGAGTAGTACAAACAGCGAATGGACAAGAGGAAAAGGAAGAAAACTTACCTAGATGATGACTTAATTTCTTTCTAACCCAGTCTTTCACTTCATCCGCGGTGAGCTTCTGCTCTGCTTCTTCTCGTTGTATCACAAATGCAGCCACGACTTCGCCGTACCGGTCATCTGGTACCCCGACTACGGAAACGCTGGATACGCTAGGATGGGCAAAGAGGCAGTTTTCAATTTCTAAAGGATGAATATTTTCACCTCCACGAATAATCAAATCTTTGATCCTGCCTGTGATCGAGATATATCCATCTGGCGACATTGTGGCTTCGTCACCAGTCTACGCTCAAAAGAGGCATTAGTTAAGTGTTAGGCAGTTGGGAGATATCCCATGACTGTTATTAGACTCACATGCATCCATACTTTGCCCTCCTCATCTTTCACCATCACCTCCGCCGTACGTTCTGGAGCGCCCCAGTATTCCTTCATGACCAGATAGCCGCTTACGACAAGTTCGCCCTTGGTTTCGACCGGAAGAGTTTTCGTTCCATCACGGGGGTCCACCACTTTCGCCTCCACATGAGGCATGAGCCGGCCTACACTGGAGATTCGTTTTTCAATGGGGTCGTCCGTTGTTGTCATCGCTGAAACAGGACTAGTTTCCGTCATGCCATAGCAGATGGTCAGTTCCGTCAGATTAAGCGTCTTGTGAAGCTTTTTCATGAGCTCTGCTGGGATGCTACTGCCAGCTGCAATCCCAGTTCGTAGGTATTGGAATCCTTCATACGGCACCTTTCCCTCCTCCAAGAGATCTAGCTCTTCCACGAACATTGTCGGGACCCCATAAAGCGCCGTGCATCTCTCATTCTGGACTGCTTTGAGCGTGGCAATGGCATTGAAGGATTCTGCAGGGAACACGATGGCTGAGCCGTGAGTTGCAGTTGCCATATATCCTAAAATACTCCCGAAACAATGGAACAGGGGTGGTGGGCAGCAGACGATGTCATTCGGAGTGAGCAGCATACGATCCCCGATTTGAACACCATTATTTAGAATTGATCGGTGAGTTAGGCAGGCAGCTTTGGGCATCGAAGTGGTACCCGATGTAAATTGAATGTTCACGACGTCATGTGGTGAAAGCCCTTGTGGTGCGATGGGAAGCATATCCTGTATGAGATCCGACGATAGAGAAGCAAACGGTGTGGTGCATTTAAAGGATGTGGTGTCGACACGGCCATCGTCATTGTTAACGAGAATTATTTTCTTTAGAGAAGGGACGGCTTGAGACTCGAGTTTTGAGCTGAGGAGGTCGGGAACTATTTGATGGAGAAGAGAGAGAGTAGGACGCGGCTCTCGTCTTGGTAGGTTTACCTCTGTGCTCATAATCAAATGGGAAGCTTCTAGATGGCCGAGCGCAGAAACCACTTGGTTCGCATTGAACGATGGATTCAACGGGACCTAGCAACGTTTCGCATCATGTTAGTGTGATCAGAAAACGAGGGGAAAGAGGGAAAAGGAGAAAAGAAGACATGATGTCTTGTCTGGATAGGATTCTTCCTACCAGCACGGCTCCCAGCTTGAACAATGCATATGTAACCTATCCGTTAAACCCGGTGAGCACTTATGGACGTGTACCGTATACCAAGAGCTTCGATAGCTATATCATACAATTGCAAATTCAATACTATTTCCCAACGAAACAGCCACTCGATCGCCTTTCGGAAGCCCGCCTGCAGCTAACCCACGAGCCAGCGCATTACTCTTACGGTCTAATTCATCATATGTTAACCGCTGCGCCTGATGGGTCGATATGACACTAAAATAGATTCAATCAGCATATTATGATGCGCGCGGGGATTGTAAGGACACAAACGCGGTCTTGTCACCGTATTTGGACACAATGTTTGCGAAATGATCTCCGATGGTTTGTTCAAACAATGGGGGCTAATAATGTATAGAAAGGCAAGCCGATAAAAGAGCCAGTTGCGATATTAGCACTGTTAAAAGTATTATTAAGAAACATCAACCGTAGAAAGAAAAAAAGGGGGGGAGGGGGGAGCGCACTGGGTGTAAAGCAATGGAGCAGAACGCTCTAGCAGCTGAATAGCCATACTAACCTCTGAAGGTCCCCTAGCATGGCTCGTTGTCAGGAGAGATCGCCTTTGCACTTGATGCACCCGAAGACTGGAGCCTCCAATTCTTAGCCATGTTATTCTCGGCCTTGCCTTGCAAGGAAGCCGCCAAACCAGAGACCCGCGCATCTTTTTATAGATATGAAGTGGAAGTCTATGTCCGTATTTTATACATGAATGTCATATAATATTACACCCCAACGTGAGTGTCTGAGTAGGTGTTCTCTCCAGCTTCAGTAAAAATGCGGGGGAAAAGGCACTGTGCTGAGGCTTGTAGCTCCGTCAGCAGGAGTAAGTAACAGGAGACTTTTGGCCGATCTCTGGGAGGGATGACATTCCAGGGGCGTAAGAAGAATGGGAATTCCGATAATTCGAATGAGAGTGTGTGGTGAGCAGCAATCGCCTGTCGTGAAGGAGTATGATTCTTCACCGCTAGCGGTTGGCGGTTGGCGGCTAGGCTTGCAAGCTCATGTATGTAGGCATGTTGTTATCGTTGTGTCGCCGGTTTTCATACCTCGGTTGGTAAGCTTGTTTTCCTGGTCTTTCCCCACAGTCCCGCGAGCAGCTTTGGTTATTACTCTTCGGGGGCGTTGGGTAACTTTATTGGGGGAGGGAGAAGCGCAGACGCATTGGGGACAAGGTTTGGTGGTTTGTTAATCGCCGTCAGGGCAAGAAACTTAACTAATACTTTTCTCCGCATGTTTTCGCTTGTTCATCCGACGTTATATATGAGATTGCCTGTGCTGCGCCGTGCTGCCATTAAGTAAAAATAAGACTACATAGAATGATATCTGTCGAGTTAGGTGAATGCCCGAAGATACACCGACACCCTTCATCCCGAGCCCTTAGAATAATATTGACTACTAGCCGAGAGACCTCCATCCATCCACTTATCTGGACAACTTTTCCTCCGCAGGGACACAATCAACAAGAAGATCCAATTAATAAAGCCGAAGTATCTGGAAAACCCACAAGTACACTCTCTACTAATACATTCATAAATAATATCTCGGTCATACCTTCTCCCAGCGTCGTTCCCACTCAGTCCACATCCCATATATATCCTCACTTTCTGGTCTCAGGTTCCAATTTCGATAGGGGTTGTCGCGTGGTATGGCTGGTACCGGATGCGGTACGTTCTGAGGTATCGTTTTATCCTTGTCTTTGCAAGACTGTGACCTGCAGAGGCACTGCTTTTGTTTGCTTCTCCAGTACTGTTTGCCGTAGTCGACGGTAATCTCCTCGAACGCCTTGATGTCCCTCCGCGTCTCCATCATCATGTAAATTCGTTTTCCGATCGTGCGGGAAACGAAGTCGACAGACGGGTCACAGGAGTGATTCACGAATCGAGCCCAATTGCCATATCGCTTGGGACAGATGATTGCCCTCACGGTTCCATAATTCGTCTTGGCTTTGAGCTGTAGGGAATACACCGTATCGTACTCCCACTCGTCCTTGAATAGAATTTCTCCCATATAGGCGCCTAACATGGTATTCTTGGGGAAGTTGGTGAGAGTTCGCACTCCAGTGCCTCGACCATCTGCGGTTTCAATCAGCTCGAGAAACAAGGCGGCATATCGTGGATATATGCAATCACAGGGTTTTTCTGATGAACACACGTCGCACTTCCCATCTGCGGGCCTGCGTAAGGTTGGGTCGACGCCTCCGCATTTCCAATGTATTTTGTAATTCCCTATGTTCTTTTGATAATGACTTTCGAAACGTGGTCGTTTTAGATACTGGCATTTGAGGTTGACCACAACCTCATGCGGATGCAGTGTCCCTACACTCCTCCCTCCCGTCTGTATAGGGTGCGGGATAGGGCCGTCATGGGGAAGCAATGCTTTGGTGTCTAGGCGCCTTGTCTGAGCAAATGCCAGGATACTAACAAAATTCTCCTTCAGAAGGTTTTCGAACGAGTCCCACACCAGTGCTGGCTCGTTCAAAAGAGCTGCCCTGAATGCCATTGAACGTGCGCATATTGAAAACACCTCTGGGTCTCTTTTAAAACATTCCCACGCATGAGTCAGGCGTCTCTTTGCTGTCTTGAGTATTTCGGGTGTCCCCGACCTCTGGCACCTCTTGGTACCCTGATGAGATGCAGTTCTCACAGATTTCCGCCGCTTTCTTCCGACCATATTGCCCTTGGCCTCCATGACCAAACCCAGTGCTTTCACAGCATATTTCTGACTCAGCATGTCCTTCTCTCTCGTTTTGTCCGTCAGTACTTCCCGGCTCGAACGAGTGAACCGGGCACTCAGCAATTGGACTTGGGCACACATATTGATCTGGCGGTACAATGCCTGCAGCAAGATTTCTGCTCTGGCCTTCGCTCGGTAGCTTGGATGTGCATTCTCTGCAATAGAATTAAAGTTATCTGTTCGCGATAGTGGACCGTCGTTTGCTATTTTTGCTGGCGAGGCTGTCTTTGTCTCGATATGATTGATTCTATCTGCCGAGTGTTTCTGACTCGTTGATCCAATAGGAGCCATCTTCTTCTTCAACATGCGGGGCTGATTCTATTTATATTGTGGGGGGTGATATCACTTATCAAATAGTGCTTCTGAGCGCTTCGAACTTGGGCGGTTTCGGAGAAGAACCATGATGATGTATCGGGGTGCTTTATCTCTCTCTGCGGTGAACCACTCTCTCTTATGTATGTACTACTGTTTCCCAATTCTTAGCCAGGATAGTGGCAATCAGGATTACTGAAACGGGGTAAACAAGAACGGCTTTGTCAAAACCATTTGGGGGCGTGCAAAACACACCATCACGGGTTCGAAGGTGTCAATGGCTGAAGGCAATTGTCTACATAAAGGAAGGATCAAAAGAAGCCCTGGAACCACCTGTGCGAAACAGAAGTGCCCGGATTGTTTTTCTTAACCCAGCTAACCTGGGGTACTTCCATATCGATGATGATATCTACCAGCTTAGTAGGGTACCAGAATGTCTTATCGTTGAAATTGTCTGGAAACAGAAATATTATATCTTCTATATCTTGGAACAAGTTGTTAACCTTCTTTGTTGTTCGATGGGTTTGAGTTCTTGTTTTCTAGATACAAAGAAAGTCATTCAGGAGATCCTCCCCCTGTATGAACATTTGCTTTCAATTTATTGGCCTATAGATATTTAAGCAAAAATTCGAACATGTCAAAGGGTACAACAAGCTGCTTGCTTATGGGCATGGTAAACACTTAGTACTCGTAGTAACTCAATAAATAGCATTGCTGAGTTAGCTAGCTACCGCAGATCGGTGATGCTTGGCAAAAATCCCAACAAGCCAAGACCATTCCCCCCTCACCCCTCTGCAAACAACCCCAAAGCAAGCCAGGCCAACGCACACTGCGCAACAAACGGACAATACCCCCATGAGGAAGATAAAGCATACGCCTATTGGCTTTTATTAAGTCCCCCAAATCGCTGACCGCCCTGCCGCTGGGACCTCAGGGTTTGGCTCGAGTGTTGACCTGGCCTTGAACCTCCCCCGCACACTTCGGCCGCGGCAGAAGCAACCCGCCAACTACCTCTCCACCAGCAGCAAACCCTAGTCACTCCGGAGTGACGTTCCGAAAGTATCACCGCCTCAGCTACTGGGTAGAATGCCAGTGGCCGAGATGATGACCTCTTACGATATTCCTGAAGATGCGATCGAGAACTTTATATCTTTCACAAATGCCTCGCGCGAGAAGGCTATAGCTTTTCTCGAAGTAGGTACAAAGGATTTTAGGACTGCTGTCCCAACGTTTCGTTGGCTTTTGCTTGCGATGTTTCGTTTATGTTACTCCCCCAAACGGGCGTTTTATTTTGTATGGACAATCGTCGCTAACAGTATACGGCCCATGTCATTGCTTGATAATTCTAGGCCAATAATCGCGATTCCAACAGAGCTATCAATGCCTACTTCGAAAACCCTGACAGTGTTCAACCCGAAGTGAGCAACCTGCATATATGCTGCGATCTTTGGAACTTGTACTTGAATCAAACCTAATTCGCTGACCTGATGCTCTGATTTAGCCTTCCGTGTCCTGGCCTATGCCACCTTCTAGTCAAAATGAAGGATATGGGTATAAGAATCAAAACGCACCTTGTGAGTTCATATGATTGCTTTTTCCAAAAGATGAGCTACGTGCTCCTAGTAAGGTGATGATAAGCACATACTGATGTACGTTGCTAGCATTTAGAATCGATTCCGATCCCGTTCACCCCGTTGGATATGGAACGGCTCCATCACGACCCCCGTCGAGAATAGGCTCTTACGAACACACTGAGGAAGCTAAAGTAGGCCAGCCGATCGAAGGTCCGGCGAATAAGCCTGGTGGTAAGTTGTCGAGGAGCTCATTGTTGGCCCGAATTTGATCAAGGTTATCTAACCACAGTTTCAGTGGGAGCGAGTCCAAGTCAGCATATGTCTCTTGCAGAGCAGGAGGAGCACGAATTGCAAAGGGCAGTGGCACTGTCTCTGAATGCGGAGCTCGGTGGAAATGGCGACATTTCCATCGATGATGGCAGTCAGGAGACCGGTGTTATCAGCACAAATCAGACGAAGCTGGCGCCGGCAACCCGGAATCATTATGACGAAACTGCATGGGCTTTAACACTGCTCGAGCCCGCGACCCGAGAAGTATGTATCCATCCAGATCCGGAGGAACGGAAGAGGGTCAATGGCGAGCCTGTTTTTCTTCGCCCCTCAGAAGAGGCAGATTACCTAGCGGGTTTTCTTACAATTATCCATGCAATCCCACTAGCAAGGGAAGCTCTGCTCCTTAGGGACAATGTCATTGATGACTATGGCAGTGACTCGCAGTGGTGGAATGGACAACCTATTGACCTTCCTAGCTTAGTGACATTCGCCGACGATGGCTATATGGACGATAGTGTGCACGATGACGTTCTAGTTGAAGTACAGAGACTTATGGCTTTTTTGGATGGCACACATCGCGCTTTTGGAAGTATCGATGCCCTTGCCAATCTTAAATCTATTCAGAGCTGGAGTACTGAATACAATGTTGGCCAATTTTTGGAATCGTGGCAAAGGTCTGCCGTTGCAGCCACGCCAGATAACCAGCTAGCTACTATATTCTCATCATTAGCCTATAAACGACCGTTTTCTGTGGATGAAGAACCAATTGATAAAGAATTTTTGGCATTGGAACTCCCCGTTCACTCGGATCTCGTGGAAACGCTGTACGATGCTATCGATGTTTCCATGTGGCAAGATTCACCGGATTCAGAACTTGACGATATATGGATAGATCGTATCGGTGAAGTGTTTTCCCTACGGCTGAACTCTACGGACCCGCAGAAATCCGTTGATGTTAAGATCCCTGCTGTGTGGTATCCAGACAGGTATATGGAGGCGTGCAGGGACATCTCGCGCAATATTCGCAAACGTAGAATCGAAACCAGCCTGGAGATCGATAAGCTACAGCATTTAATGCAGCGGTTTTCGACACCAAAGATTGGTCATTCGACCTCCCAGATCAAGAATACCTTTGATTTGGCAGTTAATGCGTTACAAGTTGCCTCGCGGAACCACCTCGTAAACGGGTCTCTTGAGGATCCAGATGTGGAAGAACGGACCATCGTGTCGCATGAAGCGGTTATGGACCTCGCTAATGAGTTAAAAGCTCTCACTGAAAAAATCGATCAGAAGCTAAAATGTGAGGAATATTCCCACTTTTTTCTAAACCTGTTAGCCGCTTTACTAATACAATTAAATAGCTCTGGAGGAGCGAAAATCCCAAGCCCTGGAGTCGTTGAGACGGTGTTCGAAGGAGCTTACCACCGCATCTAATGACCCAGCTAAGCCACCGCATAGAAAGTACACATTGCGGGGAGTTTGCACCCATCCTCATGTCACATACGTATTAAGACGACGCGAAAATAACGTCGAAAATAACGTCGAGATGACTGAGGGGCCCATCTCCGTAAGCTCAGCCCATGATGAGTGGCAGTGGTGGCGAATCAGCTTCTCCGTTGATGACGCCAAAGCTCGACATGCGGAAGCCACACAGACTCCAGCGGTACCTTCATTACATCAAAATTCAGGTATCGCCCAGCAACAAAGGAATCCAAGGGTTCCTTTACCTGCCAACATGGATGTCGCCGGCTATACTGTACGGCCCGTCAGAGAAATAGAAGTCCTCCGCGCCGCTAAGGAAGAGGCCCGTTCTGTGCTACTTGTATATGCGAATGAGAATGCGGTCAATTTCAAGGAGGGTCCGCTTCCGCCGCCATTACAGGTGTGAACTTTTTGAGTTTTATTTTAACCCCGTATGTTGTATATGTTTTAAAATTGTCTTCCTGACACCAAAATTTTACAGGAATTTGTCGACGCGGACAACAAAATCTTCGAAAGTGAAAGACAAGAAGTTTCTCAAAAGCTTCAAGAACAAGCCGAAGAAGAAGTTGCAAAAGTTAGCGAAAGTTCATGGCCTGATCTTGAACCGCTGGGCGGCGGGGCCGAGGAGACTTCGAGTATTCACGGACAAACATCCAGGAAAGTTGCAGAGCCGCAACACGTACCCACATTATCCTCACCATTAACATCAAGAGAGGGACCCGCTGGAACCAAACAAGCAGGTCGAAATAATTCTACTGGAAATAGCCGTCACAAGGAACAGAGATCTTGGGATGATCAAATCCCCGCTAGCCTCCGCACAGAAAGTGCTGCGCTCAGCGCCAGCACGACAAATGTGTTCGACTATGAAGTTTCATCATTCCCGGACACGCCGCCTAGTGAGATGGAGGACAAGGAGCCGGAGATGCAGGAAAGAGGGGTTGGCAGTGGGGGAAGCGCGATTTTAGGGCATGGTAGTGTGAGTGGAAGCGGTCGGGTGAGGTGCTCGACACAACCTTCTGGTTCTATGGAGAATATTCGAGAGGAGGTTGGTGATGATGGTGAGGGTGGCAGTAGTCGCTGTGAGCATGGTCCTGAGAAGATCGAAGTGGAGTTCAATATGCCCCCTAGCCATACTGCCTGAGTGTGAGTGAGGATGGGGGGATGGGGGATCAAACGGCCATCTGGATTGGGCAGCTGATAATGACCTTTGAAAATATCGAGATGAGCTGACATGGAGACGTAGAGAAAAAGAGAAGAAGCCATTTTCCCATCTTTTTGAAAAAAATTTTTGCCCCGATCTCAACTTTATGATGATATTATTGACCTTATGAGCAGACGCTATGTCGCATCACATCGCATGTGAATTGTTCATATTCATAGATCTACTCTAGCATAGTTATTATTATGTCGAAGGAGAGCATTACTTTCGGATTTCTAACGTCGTTAAGCAGTTGTCGAAGCATTCTTCGTCGTCACTTGCCTGTCGTGCACCTTTTTAAAGAATCTATTGAGCAGCCCCTGCCAAGTCTTAAGGGGCATTTGACCTGACTGAGATGTTTGTTTTGTTTGTCAATGACGATGTCCTCTCCGCAGTCTGTAATCTCACATATTGTTTTGTCACATACAACAAAAGGCACAAATATCAAATTACACACAACTGCCCAAAGCGTATCAAATCGGTTATTTTCTGCCTAGTATATCAATTTTTATTTCCAATTACACGACATTTACCGAAGAGGAATGGACGCCAGATAAACCTTTACCTCCTTCCAAAGCTCCCATCTCATGTTTGTTTCCCTCATCCGACAAAAAATCACGAAACCAGAAGAACGAGCCCAGAAACTCAATAAACAGAAAAATACGCAAATCTGGAATCAATGGATGGATGATCTACCTTAACCAACTTCTCCTAAATCCTCAAAAATAACCCAGTCAACACATGACGAGCGACCTCTCCAGACAGCATCTGGGACAACAACGAGGAATCATAACAAGCTTGAATGGAATGATAACCTCGACACTCTCTATCCCCCTTTGCCTATAGAACACAATTCGGATTCACATCCACCGCCGCATTCATGGCGAAACCAACATCTACATCTACGCCCACATCCATGCCTACGTCGGTGGAAACGGCAGCAGACACCATCGAGCTGTTAGAGTCGCGGTTACGCAGGATCGAATACCTGTTGTCGGGCGAGTCGAGCTGGACAGGGGAGCCACGGCGGCTAACAACAGCGACGGGTGTTGGCGACGGTGAGAAGCCGGCGATGACGCGGCTGGCCAAGCTGGAGTATGAGTTGAAGGCGCTGGCGAATAAAGTACCGGCTGTGAGGGATGTTTTGGCACTCTGTATGTATCCGCTGGGCACCACTTGCTCCATATTTCGCTTTTTATATCTTCTGCATCTTTTCTATAGCAAGACCTTTTGTTTTTATCCTAGTCCGCTACAAAGCCGCCGCAGCTAATCTCTCTACAGACTCCCGCTTCCCAGACCTCTTCCAATCAATCCACCCCATCACCACTACCACCACCACCTCTTCGTCTTCGTCTTCCTCACCCCAACCCCCAGCGATCCCCAGCACGCTCTCCCAGCAAGCCCTAACTTCCATAATCCTCTCCTACGCCTCTGCCTTTCCCGAAACCGCCTCCCGCCTCACCTCCCTCAAGGACCTACCCATCCCGCCCGCGTCCCTGTCGGCATCACTGATAGAGCTACAGCCACGTCTGGATCGACTGGTAGCGGTGCAGGAACAGCAGGCAGCAGAGATAGCGGAGCTGCGAGCGCGTAGTGCGCTGGTGGCGAAGCGGTGGGTGGAAGTTGGGGTTTTGGGCGGTAGTGAGGTTTGGGCGGAGTGGGAGGGGAGGATTGAGAAGGTGGAGAGGGCGGTTAGGAGATTGGAGGGGAGGAGGGAGGAATAAAATGGGGTCTGTGTAGCCTGTCGGGGTCCGGGGAAGGGTATAGATAGTTCTTGGATGGTTATTTGCTTTCTCTATCTTTCTCGTTTGCTTTGTTGCTTGTTATAGGTTATGGAGTTGGGCGGTAGTTTATATGTAGCATTTCTTTCTTTTTTCCCTTTTTCTTTGTTTTTTTTTTTTTTTTTTTACATATATCTTAATCTTATTGTTATTGTAGATTATTACTCCAGGGTCCCTCGAATGGTGGACCTATGAATCTCTCTGGACGGTTTATTCATTCAGTTATTTATCCTAGACATCACAGGGCGGTGTCTGCTTTTCTTTTCTTTCTTTCTTTTCTTTGCGCCGTTTTTCCCGCTGCCTCCTTTCTTTTATTTGATTTTGTTTTTTCAAACAACGAAAAAAAAAAAAAAAAAAAAAAAAAAGGAGAGAGAGAGAGAGAGATGAGGCACATTCCCCTTCGGTCGCGGCGGGCAACAGGTGCATTCGTATCGAATGGAGAACTCGGTATGATTCACGGCGTATCCTGCCTCCAACGTTCAGACAGCGCCTGGATCATCTGAAGAGCAGAGCCGCAAGGGTGTCTTTTCGGGATATTTATCAAACTTGACATACAGACGGCCAAATTGCTGGGCCCTCATTCCCAGAGCCATCGACCAGAGGGGGAAGCGGCAGATGATATATTAACGTCGCACTTACAAGCTATTATCCCCAATGGAAGGGTAGGCAGCGAGTAGGTGATATTAATCTGCATCCAGAGGAAACGCTCCGAACGGTCCTCATGGCATGGCTTCTGGGTGTAACTTGCGCGCCCTGTGCCGAGTTGGCTTTGTGATGAAGGGACGAAGGAATGGTCTGAACCAGCCGGGCTATGATAACAACGTCTGGTGAGCAGAGGATCAAGTCCTCCATATCTGTTTCTTCCTTTCTCTCCCCCCCGCCCCCGCCTTTCACCAACTTAGCTATATAACTAATCCTCGGTTCCCATCCTTTCTTTTGTCTCTCAAGGCCTTCTTCTAGTTACCCAAGACTTTGTGTCAGGGCATCCATCAAGGATCTCCCTTGCAGTTTGCAGCTGATGAATTCAGCAGGTCCATGTCCTGTCCCAATACAATAGTAGAACCACATGATTGCCTGTTGAACAGCCTTCTCCAATTCTCCACAGTTGAAGTGATCTCGGTCAAGTTTTCAGAGCGACACAAAAACAGTTTTGTGCACTCCAAGTAAACTTCCCTAGTTTTTGAACTCCTGGTCAGCTTTATCGAGCCGATATACTACATGCAACATGTGGCAACTACCATGAAAACCCTGTGGCTGCCCGAACATTCGTCCACGTTTCAACCTTCCCTCCCCACCGGGTTCAGGCAGGAGGCGCAGTTCTCTAAAATGCAAGGCAGCTATTCATTCAAAGAGGTCCAGCTCCTCCTGACGCGTATTAGCAGTGAAGGTGAGATGGAGGTTAGTGGGTATATTTTAGACGGGGCAAAGGCTTGATGATGACTTTTGATTGAGCCGGATCCACTTTTTCCAAAACGGGCCCCCCCCTGGGACGTGGCGGAGATGATCTGGACGGAGGTTAATCTGTACATGGGGTGAAATTGACTTTTGGAAGCCCAAGGTCAGGAACGAGAAGGTTGAAAAGAAAAAAAGAACAGCAAAGGTAAGGAAAAAGAATGAAAGGGCTCGCTCGTTGAATTCAAAAGTCACCCGCCTAGGAGATGTCATACATACTGTGCTAGCCTTGGTTAGTTACACATCCATGGACACGGGCATGGACATGGACATGTGCAAGTAACTAGTGGTTATATGAAGGTGGATTTGCCTGTGTTTGAACATGTGTTTCTATGGTGTTCAGCCAAGGCCCCCAAATAACTCATACATGTTCCATACAGTGAGCTATCTTCTTTGATCATATAAAAAAGATAACTTTTCTGTAATATTACATACAATGACTGTATCAGTCTCTCTCTGAATGTGTATTTAATAATTATCACTTCACTACTGTATTCTTCTTTCTCTGCTCTTGTATTGATTTCTATTCTTAACTATTCTTATTCTTATTCATCTACTTTGAAATTCTTGCATCTCTGTATAAGTAAGAAAGATTGATAATGATCTCTGCTGCTGATACTGCTGTTGAAGCAGCTACTGTATAAAAGCAGTTATAATATAATTTTATTGTAAAGATGATAGTACAGAGAGAGAATATACTGAGAATCAGCAGACAAAGCAGATCAAAAAATATATAGATAATATATACAGAGAAGTAGAATGAATGAATGATAATATATAGATTTATTTTATTTCTATTTCTTTTTTATTTCTGTGTATGAAAAGAGATGAAATTTGATAAACTAATTTCTCACTGCTGTTCAATCTTTACTATCTATATAATAGAAATAATATAATAAAAAGAAGTTTTCAGATGATTAGATTATCTCTGAGTAGAAGATAATCTGATTTTTTAGTAAAAGAATTCTTAATTATTCATTCAGAGAAAATCATTTCAAAAAAAAGTGTATAAATACTAAAAAAGAAGAGATTGTACAGATAATAGAAGAGAATCTGATTAAATAATATTAAATAATTTTTATTAATCTGTATTGTATATAGCAGAGCAGATAGAAAAACTTTCATTCTCACTCAGTTAATTAAATTTTAAATAATATATTAAAGATTTACAAATCTATAGAGTATATATAAAGATATATAAAATTTATAAATAGAGATGTAGATACTCTGATGAACAGCTATACTGAACTGAATATAATAAATTTTATATATCAGTACTGAAAGAGATAATAGAAAAATAAAAGATATATAATTAAATCTCTTCTCTGTACAGCAGCTGACTTTTTTATAAATTACTATATACTACTGAAAGAGCAGTTTAAATAAAAGATATAGTTGACTGATCTATTTACAATTGAGCTGTTAAATAAAAAATTAATACTCTGCTGATTTTTTATTCAGATTATAAATAATAGTAAAATAAATCAGAATAACAGACTTGAATATTCAACTGTTGTATAATATAAAAATTATATTTTTTATTCAATATCACAGATTGTATTCTATCTGTTCTATAGATAAAATATTATATAAAAGTCTCTATTTCAGTTTCACTATTATCAGCTCTGATATAATATTCATTTATTTAAAAATAAAAATCTGTATAAGCAGATCTTCTACAGAACTTATTTTAAGTGAATAAATAAACTTTTTATATATATAGATATATCAGAGATGATAAAGAAGATTTATACTGAACAATTTATAAATATATAGAAGATAAAATTTAATGAAATAAATAAAAGCAGTATCTGCAGAGCTGAGTGATAAAATAATAACTTTTTGATCAGCTGCTATCTCAGTCAGATTAATTGAGAGTTTATATAAGAAATTACAGAGTTCAATTCTAATTTATTAAATAATTATTATTTTTCATAAACTATAATCACTTCATCAGAGCTGTTGAAGAAATCTCTCTGATTATAAATAAATAAATAATTTATCTAATTTTATTCTGAGAATAAATTCTCTTATATTATTTCTTCTGAGATCTCTGATATAAATCTGAAGCTGTTTAATAGTGAAAGTTTATTTAATTTAGATAATTTTACAGCTCAGAGATTTTTACAGCTGTTAGATTATCTTTATACAATGATACTACAGAACTCTACTTTTTTTCAGAAAGAATTTTCAACTCATTCACTGTGAACTGATTCAGTATTTTAATATACAGAGTATAAGTAGTTTACAGATACTGTATAAGCTGCAGAGTCAGTTTTCATTTCTTTACAGAAAATAATATTTCAATAATCAGTATTATAAATTTTTAAAAGTCTGAATACTGTATAAAAATAGATCAATGTGATAATAGATCAGATAAAGATCAGAGATATATAAATAAAGAAAAAGATTGATAGAATTCAGTGTGAAATTGATATAATAACAACTGAATTCTAAATCTTTCAATCTGTTTCTATTTCTGTCTGTATATAGAAAAATATTATTAAAATTTTTTTTATCTCTGTATCTATATTTTTATTCTTCTTTTTATCAACTGCTGCTGCTGCTGTCATCACTTCTACTACAGTATTATCAACTAAAAATAATATTTAAATATATCAGCTCTTCTATATAATTCAATCAGTCAATAATCTCTGAAAGAAATAAAAATAGAGATTGAATAAACAGCTCTCTGTGCAGTATCTGAAGTCATTATATAAATCTAGCTAAAAAAAGAAAAATAGTAAGTATATATTCTTTTTCTAATAAAAGATGATTATTGATGAGATACTCAGCTGCTACTGTATAATAAAATCAAGATCTATTCTAGAGATTGTAAAGAAGTTTAAATTGATATATATATAATTAAAAATGAGTCTGAATAAACTTTCTGTTTTTCTCAGAAAAGTAAAAAGATAATCTGTGTATATTAACTATACTATATTATATATTTTTTAATCTTAAGTATTTATTTATTTATACATACAAGCTGTTTCAGTAGAATTTATAAGAGTGAGTATTCTCTCTTTCTCTTTTTTCTCTTTTATATATAAAATATTTCTGCTTTTCTCTTTCATTTATAATAATAATAATAATAAGTTGATTATAAAATTCTCTCTTTTTCTATCTTCTCTCTCAACTTTTTTTCTCTTTCTTTCTTTAGCTTTTTTATTATTATTCATCAGTATATATAATCTTTTTTACATCAGAATTCATCATTCTTTTGTTGAAATTTATTAAAATTATTTATTCACTGTTCACTCTGTCTTTTTTTCACTCTGTACACTGTATAAAATATTCATTTCATTATATCAAAGAAAAAAAACACTAATAGAAACTTGTATATATAGCTAGAGAAGATTTTCAATTTTTTTTTTCATAAAAAAGAAGATCAGTTTTCTTCTGCTCTTCAATAGTATTCTCTCTCTTTCTCTTTTTTATAAATAATATAAGTATTTCTCTGCTTCTCTACTGTACAGTATAGAAAGCTGATTATAATACAAAAGCTTTTATTCTATACAATTTTATTACTACTCAGTGAAATCTGATTTAGACTAAATTAATTGATTTATATTATTCAGCTGCTGAATATTAAGATGAGTGATAGAAATAATCAGAATATAGTACAATATATATCAGCAATTCTCAGCTGAATATATTTTATTATAATTCTCAATTTTATACTCTGCTTACTGTCTCTAACTTTAATATATTATATATCTGTATATATATCAGAGCTGATCAAGTGTTATTCTATTATTTATTGTATATCAATATTATTCTGATTCAATCTTATGATAGAACTCTTGTTACAGACTGTATACAGTATTATATATTCTCTAAGTTTAAATCATTTCTATTATACTGCTGTGTGTACAGTCACTTTGAAAAAGTATATATCAACTATAAATAATATAATTATACAGTACACTGCTTTCTTCACAGCTCTGTGAATTAGTCTGATATATATAATAATTTTTATAATAAACAGTCATCACAGCTATAAATATCAGCAGTAGATGATGTGAATTATAATACTCAATCTAATATACAGAATAATCTCATTTTTATTGAATAAAGTATATATAAAGCTTTTATTTTTCTATTCTGTTCTATTCTATTCTCTCTCTTTGATCTTCATTTCTTCATTATTATTATAGATATATATATATTATTATTATAGAGTTAGATCTAGTTATATAAACTGTGTATAATACTCAGACAGTTGACTTGTACTTCTATATAATATCTGAAATTAGTAGCTCTTTAGTAGAGATGAAATCAAGCAGATTATTTAACTAGTAGTTATATAATTTTCTATATACAAAATCATATATATCTGAATTTAATAGTATTTCTCTTACTAAATACAAGTATTCTGTATATATAAATATAAAATTGAATATACATCAGTAATAATCAGATTATATACAGTGATGTTGATAGCTGAGTGACTGCATCTCTGTATATAATCTGATTATTATAAAAATTGAATTTGAATATACTGTAACTCAACCCATCTATAACTAGTGATTATATAAAGATGAATTTACTTGTATTTGAATATATATTTCTATAATATTCAGTCAAAGCCTCTGAATAACTCATATATATTTTGTATGATAAGCTATTTTTTTTGATTATATAAAAGAGATAACTTTTCTGTAATTAGATGGAGTGAAGTGAAGTCTACAAGAATCATACAAAGTTCTGAGGGTGTTAAAAGTTGCTCATTATATGGCTGAAATGATTGAATATATAAGATTACAAAATAATAGCTTAAATTGTGTTGATATTATTGGTGTAAAACAGATTTCTGAATCTCTGATTGATCAAAATGCTTGAAATTCCCACTTTTAAATCTGCAGTAAAGACTTAGCTTTTTCAAATACTGATTTATTATTGAATTGAATATCTAACACTAACTAATCCATAATTGAACATGATATTTTGATTTTATCTCTATTCTTCTCAATTATAAC